ACTTTCATTTCTTCATTGACCCAAGATTGCAAAACATATCTTACTACATAGAATTTCACTCTATTATATCTCTTAAACCCATAAATATATTTTATTTATTTTTTACTAATTCTTTTGACCCAAACAAATTTTAAAAAGACATTGTTTTTCTAAATCTCTCTCTCTTGACATGATTCCCTTTCTCTCTCCCTGGATCTACCTCCCAAACCCCTCTCTCTCTCTTGACATGATTCCCTTTCTCTCTCCTCGGTTCAACCTCCCAAACACCTCTCTCTATCTACCACCACCAGCACCTCCTCCAAAACATCTTCTAGTGCCACCGCCAAGCTCTCCGTCACCACCAGCACCCTAGCCAAAACCTCCTCCTAGTCTTCCACCACGATGCCTAAATCATGGGCTAAATGGACCATGCCTGTGGCCTAGCAAGAAGTGCTTATCTTCGGTAAACCCATTGCAGACTACAGCAGCAAACACACTACTCACCACCACCAAAGCCACCACCAAAACCCTAGTTGAAACGGCAATGCTACCCATCATCTCTCTATGAGAATTCAAACTACACTCAAGGTTTCAAGTGATGAGAGAGAAAGAAAGTATTGCAGAATTTATAGAGAGAGAGAGCATGGACACCGTGTGTTCATAAAACCAGTGGGTGTTCAAAGTGTTATGGCTTGTACTCACAATGGTATGTTCATGCGCTTTCATGTTTTCTGGGGCTCAAACCTTGACCCTCAACAACATTCAGAGAAGGAGGGGGCCCCAAAAATCGTTCCCCCCCTTTAATTACTCCATTGATGAAATTTTGAACAAACTGAACCAATTCTTAACGACACGAACCAGAAACTGACTACAAATCCAAACTGAACCAATTCTAAACGACACGAACCATAAATGACCACAAATCTAGATAGACCCTGATATAACCAAAATGAGAATCATTTTCAAAGAACCTAACTCGAAACCAGAAATGACCACAAATCCAGATAGACCCTGATATAACCAAAATGAGAATCATTTTCAAAGAACCTAACTCGAAAGCTTCATCAGCCGAGGCTAGACACTTGCAGATTGAGTCCAAAACCCTTAAAATTACAGGGGGAGTCTGTTCGTTATCGGGATCTTCCACTTCTCCACATATCAAGCCATTGGGATCAACTTCTAAAGACATTCCAAAAAGAAGCTCGAATTTTTATCTCTTTCTGTTACAGTTAACTTTGAAGAGGCTTGTAAAGATTAGTTTCAGAGAGAGAGAGAGATTATGTTTTTTTCTGATGAGAAATGTACGTTTTCCGATGTGGGCTTTACTGGAAAAGGGAGATGGAGGTAGATGATGGTGACCGCATTGTAGGTCGAAAGTAAGAGCAAGAGAGCAACTAGAGAGAAGGTGGGTAAGAAAAAGAAGAGAGGGGTTCTGAGCATGACGAGTCTAGAGAGAGAAATACGTGAGGAGAGAGATTGAAACACGTGAGGAGAGAGTTAGAAAAAGGTGTCTTTTTTAATTTGTTTGGGTTAAAAGTTAGAACAAAAATAGATAAAATTATTTGAGGGGTTAGAAGATAGGTTTTGAAAT